GTTGGTGCCAAAGGAGGTGGATGTCAGCAGTCACGTGGCCACTTCTGCAACCTGGAAAGTGTGGAGCAGAGCAGCTGACACAGAAAGCAAACAGGGTGGGGACTTTGCTTTGATCCTGTTAAATTTAAATTTCATCTCAAACAATGTATCCAGGAGTAAGGGAGGGTGGTGCTGGGAACTATAGATAGGTTCTACTGCCTGTACCTCAGCCAGAACATTTCAGCCACCTGCCTCTGGCATCACAGCTGCTCTCTGCCAATGAGTTCACCTGGGTCAAAATTCTACATGGGTGTGGTGGTACACACCTCTAATCTCAATCTTAGGAGGCAGAGGCAGGAGGACTGCCTTGAGTTTGAGGCCAGCCTGGATGACATAGTGAGATATCATTTCAAAAGAACAAAACAAAATTCTAGACTCCAGAGTGCATATGGAAAGCTGCCCCTTCCTGAGTGGCCACCAGTGCCAGTCTTGTAGCCCCAGTGCTGCACTGGGGTCCCTGCAAGTGTACCACCAGGCCCTATGGTGGCCACACTCCTTGGACTTTCCAGGGAGTGGCTGTTCCCTCCCAGCTGCCAAGAGTCTGGATGCAGACAGCCAGGACCTGCCAGTGCCCCGCTCTGAGGTCATTCCCAGCTCTGCCCTTGCAAAGGGTCCAGCTAGCCATGCCCATAATGTATGCACCCTGTTGGGAGCAGAGCACCCAGAAATCATAGGTCCACAGCAGGCACAAGCTCTGAAAGTGCCACACTGCCTTCCCCAGGGCTGCCCCAGGGCTCCTCTGAACATGGGATCTGTCCTTAGGGGGCAAATGCCAGAGGCAGACCCTGTGAGCCTCTTGGAGGAGGGGTTTCGTATACAGAAACAGTCATGTGCACATACACAGACACATGTGCAGACAGAAACCCACAGACACATGCATACACACATGTACATACATGCATGAACATGGTGAGCACACATGCCCACCACTTCATATCAAAATCTATACCTTCCATCTGCACATATCTGCATACACACAAACATGCCGATATATACAGACCTACATGTACACCAGCTCTGAACACACAACCTATACACACATGTACATAATATGCACACATATAACACTGCAATACTACATGCACCCAACATAGACTGTACATACATATGTGTACATACATCCAACTCTCATGCCCATGTGCACACAACTCAACACACTTGCACGTTCATGTACAAGCTATGCCCACACATACATAAACATACACATACATCTAGGCTAAGTTGGTGGCCTCTCAGTGGGAGAAAGATTTTTGGCTTTGCATCCTGTGGTTGAACCCAGTGAGCACTGAGCTGTACTCCCAGGCCCTTTTTATTTATTTTGAGACGAGTCTCACTAAGTGGCCCAGGCTGGCCTCAAACTCAGGATCCTTTTGCCTCAGGCTCCCAAGGGCCTCTGTGCTCAGCTGGAAGAATTCTTCGCCCTGAGTGCTTCTGCCTGTTTCATTGCCGCACGGTCACAAGGAGCTGTTGGCAGCAGTGCTGCAGGCTCCAGCTCCTGACCTTGGCTCTCCATGCATGCGGTCACAGGGGCTCCGGTCCTGCTTTCCCCTGAGGTGTGGCGCAGCGCACAGCCAGGGATGTGGGGGATTAAAACTCGGAGCCTGGGACTCAGAGCTCTGGGGCTGAAAGCACTGTCCCCTCCGTCCTTACCAAGGGGGCTGGGGTGAGTTCTCAAGGGCTCCCCTTCCCAGACTAAGCCTCCATCTCCCTGTGAGCCACACAGCTGTGCAGCAAACACCCGTGGATGGCCTGGGGTCCCAAGGCCAGCAGAGGCCTGGGCTCTGAGACCCTCCCCCAGAAAGGCATAAGGAGTGCAGGCTGGATCCCAGGCTCAGGGCTGGGGAAGCCCCTCTGCACGTTACTTCCCTTCTCTGCAGACCGGAACACTGAGGGTTGCAGTGCCTGCCCACAGCATCTCCACGGCAGAACACAATTCAGCCTGGGCCAAGCGCCCAGGCCTCGTGCTCTACCAGGACATGCATCACTGGGTCCAGCACAGAGGTGGCTAGTGGGGCTCAGAGGCTGAAGGGGTTTCATGTGAATGGGAAAGGGACTTCTCGACAGGCCTCCTGGGGTACCCAGGCCTTAAGCCTCGGAGGTGACAGTGGCACAGGTGAGTCCAGCTGGACAAGTGGATGGGTCTCACTGGATATCAACAGCATGCTAGGAAAGCCCCATGCCAGTGACACGAGCCAGCAAGGATCAAACACCTTGGTTAATATGTCACCAGGGCCACTGGAGTTCTGAACCCCTAGTGAGACCAGGAGCTGGGGTAGAGAGGGACTTCTTTCCTAGGAGCACTAGACGACAATTCTGGGGCCTGCGTGGGGAGAACAGCAGAAGCTGCCGTCACACTCCCCCATCATCCCAACTCCAGCTCCCGTGGGGCTAACTTCCCCTTCACCAAAGAGCCCCGCCAACTCATAATTAGCTACACACAACGAAAACAGCAGTTAGGAAAAGTAAGGGTTCCAGGGCTGAGTGGCCTCACGGCCAGTTGCTGTCCTAGGTGACCTGATCCAGTCTGCCTATCTCTGGGGCTGTTTAGGTACCGGGAGTGGTGGGAGAAGCTGAGAACTGACTCCCACATAGCACGCCTGGGGGCCACCTGAGCTGGGCAGGAGCTGTCAGCTGCCCCCAGGCCAGGCTCAGTACAAGGCCCTGTCTCAGGCCAGGACTAGCTGGGGAGTTGGGCTGTCTGAGGCCTGCACCTGCCCTGTCAATGCCTGGCCATCACAGGAAGCAGAACCTGAGGGTCTGCAGCCCCTGCATGTCTATTCCTGGCAGGAAACCTCAGCCGGAAGTGCACAGGGTGGGTCCCCATGGCAGCTGGGCCATGAACTGGGCCAGGCTGGGCAGGCCCACTTCCTGTGGGCTCTGCGCTAACCAGGAATGACCCAGAGGCCCATCCACATTGCCTTTGGAACTTGGCTATGACCCTGCCTCTTTCAGGAACTGCCAGGCAAGCAGAAATGAGGGAAAGCAGATGCTTCCCCTAGCAGCTGAGTTTACGCCTGGCCCCAACAGTCAGTGGGCATGGAAGATACAATTCTGTGGCCTGGAGGCTAAGTGCGGCCCAGGAACCTCACCGTGGGGGCTGTGAGGGGCAGGAGACTGTGGCTAGCATCAGAGGGCTGTGCACCAGCTACAGTCTGGCTACCTGACTCCTGCTGTGTCTAATAGAAAACTGTTTCAAGTCATGCCCTGGGCACACCACAGCTGCGGACAACTTCCACATTAAAACTGATGTTTACCATTCCTCTGAGGCCAGCTCAGTGTGAGGTGACTCCAAGAGGAGACCTGGAAAGTGGGAAGACAGGAAGCCACCAGCGCAGCAGTGGCCGGACCCCACTCTAAGCACTTCCTGTACATCAACCACATAGCCCTCACCAGGACTCTCACTGTAGGGAGCGCTGTTATTACCTCCATTTCAAAGGTGAGAAACTGAGGCACAGAGTGCTGGCACGATGTGACTAAGCCATAGCAAGAGTCGAGGGCGGGAAGCTCCTGCCTGGGACCCAGGACTCCCACGGCCTGGGATGGGACCTCGCTTGTGTAGTCCACCTCCCAGCCCATCACCTCCTACCCGGCTCTGCACACTCAGCTGTCCAACTTTTGCTCCTGCCTTCCACACTCTTCAGAAGGCCTCACCTGCCTACTCTGCCCCGCCTAGCTCTCAGGAGCCTGTGCTAACATCCCCTGCCCCCCAGGAAGGCCTCCCCCGGGAATGCCGCATTTCTACCAGAAGCTTCGCCTGCCCCTCTGGGCCCCTCTCTGCTGTCCGGGATAGACAGGGTGGTGGGAAGAGACTCCATCTCCCTCTCTCTTGTCCCTAGAGCCAATACAGTGACCCCTGAGCAACCTACACAATCCTCTGGGGCCCAAGATGCACCCAGAACCCCCAGGAAGCACAGGCCACCCTGCTGTGAACAAAGCTGGTGCCAGGTGGAGGCCATAGCCTGGGCAAGACCAAGGATAGGTCCCCCTAACCTGCTTCCAAGCCCCTGCCCTCTGCCCGTGCTCTGCTTCCCACGTGACCTTGAGGGCAGAGGGATCATCTGTTCTCCCTTCTGAAGATTCTGCACGGGAAACCTAAATGGTGAGTGGACGCTCCTTTCATCCACGGCTCATCCCAGCCCTGGTTCCTGTGGCCATCCCTCCCTGCCTGGCCTTTCACCACCCTGTGAGCTTAGAACTGGCCACCAGTACCCAGGCAAAATGTCACTGCCCCAGAGTGGTTCACGCCCCAAGGACGCCTGGAAAATCCCAGCCGAGCCCCAGTTCTCCACCCCCATCCCTAGAGGGGTCGGAAAACGAAAGAACGCCCAAAGTCAACATTTCTCCAGAGGTCCACGCCAGGTCCAACTGCGCTGGTCAGGGCTGGGCACTAGGCTGAAGCTGCCAGGGCCCCAGGGCCCCGGATGCGAGGGCCCCTGGCTGGAGCAGGAAGGACAAGGGGAAGGGGGGTTCAGGGAGGGGAGCACCTCCAATGTGGGGCGCAGGCTCTGGACAGCCCGCGGGTGGGCATTGGGGCGGAGGGGGGGTTTGGTGGGTGACGTCTGTGTCTGGAAGTCAGGTGAATGGAGCCACAACACGCGCCCGGGTTTCCTCAACACCACAGCATGGGTAGTGTGACGTAACCGTTTGCCCGACGCTGGCCTGGATCCCGGAGGCGGCGACTCCACGCCCACCCCGTGGCGCACCAGGAGATGGCCCGGGGGCTGGAAGTTAGGGAGGCGGCGTGGAGGCAGGCAGAGCGCAGCGGGCACTGCCTGGATCCAGCGCGCCCCCGCGTCCCTGCCGGGGTGCCCGGAGCCCCGGCGGCCACTGCTCTGGACCAGCAGGGCTGGGCCGGGGCACAGCGTCCCCGGCACCCCGCAGAGTGGACGCGCTTAGGGCTTGCACCGAGAGAGGGCGGCGCCGGGGCAAGGGCTCAGCGCCAGGTTTGGGGGCGCTCTTACCATGGGGTCCGGGGAGCCGGGCGAGCCCGGGTGCACGTCGCCATTGAGCTCGTATTCCTCGGTGCGTGAGTCCATGGTGCAGCCGCCGGACCGCTTGGCTCCAGCCTGAGCGAGTAGCGAGTAGAGTCGCCGCGGCCTGGACCCCGGACCTCCGCCCGCCTCTCCGCCGCGGCCCCGCCCCTCGCCCTCCCCAGCCACGCCCCTCCGTCCCGGCCCCGCCCCTTACCGGAAGAGAACTGCGAGCGAGCTGGGCGCGACCCCTCTGCACACAGGTCCGCTGGGATGAGACTGCCGGGCTCTCAGCGCTCTGGGCGTGGGGATCACGCGTGTGGCTCTGACCCCGGCAAGACGCACCCTGGTGGTGTAGGTGCCTCCAGCCCAGCCCAGCCTCTGTTTTCCTGCTTGGGCGAAGGTAGTCCCAAGGCCTCCCCCACAGATGGTGCTGGGAAGGAGGTGGAGTGGGTTCCAGTGTCCAGGAGGGAGGCAGGATCTCGCAGTGCTCGCCCCGCCGTCTGGGCAGGCACAGCTTGCTAACTCTTTCAGCCTCAGCTCAGTCAGACTTTGTTTCCTAGGACATCCTGGAACCTCCCCTGGGCCTGGGAAGCCAGGTGGGAACAGACACAAGGAACATGGCCTTGCAGGACCAAACCAGGCCGCAGGAGCTGGGGAGTACAGGACACTGTGTGTCTTTCCCTCCCACCTCATGTCAGACGCAGCTGCAGTTTAATATCTTTCCCCACCCCTACCTCCACCCCCGCCCGCACCCCAGATTTGTGCATTGTCTTTTGGTGTCTGCTGATGGTTCTCCAGAACCTCTCAAGTAGCCAGCAGACACCTGCACTCTGGCTAGTCTGGGGTGGGCTCAGGCAGGTAGGTGTTGGATTTGATACAAAGGAAAGTATAACTCCCAACCTGATACGACAACTTCATGTCCCCCAAAATGGTAGAAGGAATTCTAAGGAACAACAGAGGTTAACAGCAGGAAAGCTTTATTGAGAGATAGCTGCTGAGCAACAGGAGGGGACCTGAAAGCAAGCTGGCACCAAGGTCATTTCTGTAGGAACTGTGTTAGTGTATTGGTTACTGATGAGTGTATCTAGGAATGTTTTATACAGCCAAATCATAAGGTGGGGTATAGTGTGGGTTAAACTGTAACCAACCAATAAGATGTTAAGTATAGCCACTCAGTAGGGCAGGTATGTGGAAGGAGCATTTTTGGGAAGGAATGGGTTTGGGTGCTTTGGTCACCTGCTCGGTGGTTGATATCTTATCTGGACTTCACTGGACCAGGAGATACCAATTATAGTTCCAAGTTCCTGCTTATCCTTAGGGAGATGTGTGGGCCTTTACATCTCTATCTTTTTTTTTTTTTTTTTGGTACTGGGCATTGAACTCACGACCATGCACTTGCAAGGCAGGCGTTTATGCTGCTGAGCTAAATCCCCAGCCCTACATCTCTATCTTGAGGCCTGGCCTTCAACAGGTGCACCTCCAGCCCGGGTTCTAAAGCCTTCGTGTTTTCTGCTGTCTTCCTTGAGTGTTCAGTCCCCCACTGATTTCTATCAAACTTAGCTGCCTGTAGTAACTTCACTTTCCTGTGTGTAACATTACCCTCCTGTGCTCTCAGCATGAGACTGGGGTTTGGTCAAGGTCTTAGGAGCCTGATCTTCTTTTATCCCTTGTTGTAGTCAGGGGTTGTGAGGAGAACAGTTAAAATCAGGACATGGAATTTATAATATTATTTTATGATGGTCACCCAGAAAAAGCATTAGTGCAGGAAATCTATCCACAACACCAAAGACATAGAATATTCAGCCAAGGTCCTGAATCCCACAGCAATGTCCTGCATGAGTCCAGATGAAAACCTAGAGTCCCTGACAGTGCCTCCCATGAGTCCAACTGGAGGTCTAGAGCCCACAACGACTCACACCAATATGTTTTACAGATCAGAGCCTGGAAAGGCCCAAAGGTCAGCGGTAGAAGCCAGAAAGTCCATGCCAGCGAGGTTTGCTGGTAGGTTGAGGGTTCTACACTGGAGCCGAGAAGTCACACTCACAACAAAGACCAGGGATGTCCTGAAAGGCACCACAGCCATCCTCAGTGACACGGAGGCCTGAGCTCCTCCCATGAGAAGCACAGTCGGGTACATGCCAGGAAGCGAGCGTGACGGGTTCATCCTGGAGACCAAGCAGCACACATCTACCCTGGAGCCAGGAAGCAATGCTCGATGTGAGGACCAGAGCTTCTCCAGAACCAACGGCTCAAACAAAAACACATAGGAGAACCCACAATGCCTCAATGCCTCAACACCTCACTTCTCCTCCATGTCTCTGTTTATGCTGGCAACTTTCCTTAGGTGGGACATCTATTCTCAGCACCATGCCGATGTAATCTAGCTGGTGTTAAGTTGCCCACCAGTTTCTGATCCATAACAGCCCTCCCATAAAGGAACTAACAGTCTGATGTGGTAGGCACCTGTGATCCCAGAATTTGGAGTCACAGAGCCAGAAGGAATGATAAGTTCCACCCCAGCCTGAGCATTTTAGGAACTTAGTGGGATTTGGTTTCAAAATAAGAAAATAAAAAAATGCAGGTGTAGCTTAGTGAGAAATCCTGGGTTCAATCATTCATGTTGCCAGAAGCAAAAGCAAAATGAGATAAAAGAGCAGAGGGGTGAGAAATGGCACTCCAGTTGTCCCTACTCCCAGGCTGGCTGGAGGCAGTGGAAGCTGCAACAGACAGAGCTCTGCTGTGGGACCCCATCAGACAGGAGTGGGCAGGAGGCCCCCAGGCCAGGTCTGTGAGGGGCTTGGTGCTGTTACGTCTCATTTGACGAAGAGCCCAGAAAAGACCGCATCTTCCCACTCACTGGATGGGGGAAACTGAGGCTTAGCTGAGAGCACAGAGCCCAGGAGGCTATGCTCAGAATTCGGGGAAGTTGGTGCCAACCCTTGGAGTGCCCTGTCCTCCCTCCACCTTCCCAGGCTGGACGCCCAGCCTTGCCTCCTGATGTGCCCCCCACCCCCATCCGCCATCTCTCCTCCACTGGGGAGGTGGATCTGTAAGAGAAACTGAAAGCACAGAAAATGCAAGTCACCCAGGGGACTTTTTAGAAAACAGATCTTCTGCTCACCCTGGGCCAGGCCCTGGTCCAACCCGTAGCACGTCTGCCACTTGTACTGTGGTCAGGCTGGGGCGAGGGGGTACAGTAGTCCCACTGGACCCCCCTGGTTTCTGAGCCTGTTTCCTGAGTGCCCATCCTTCAGCGCTCTGCCCATTTGGGGGTTGAAGGGTTGGTGGCGGCCACGTAGGAGGCCAGGGAAGTCCACCCTGGCTGCAGCCCCCCCCCCCCCCATCCTACTGCCTCCAGCTGAGGCAGTCCCCCCACCAGGACAGCAGCTGGGAGAATGAGGGTGTCACAAGGCAGGCATCTGGGATAGGGTTGCCCTTGATAGCTGTCCTATGGGCTTCTGGCCTTCATTAGGGCCAGACCATGGAGGAGCTGTTTGCGACCCACTTTGCAGTTGAGCAAACTGAGGCTGAGAGAGGTTGTCTGTGCTGAAGCCCTCCCCACAGGAATCTTTCTGGCAGGGCCTTGGGAAGTGGCCTGCAACAACAGTGGTCACTGTCACAGGGGTCACAAGCCGCTGAAGAGCAGGGTCGTTAGATATTGGTGCCATCCACACAGGAAGAGCCTGTCCCTTTTCCATGGTCTGGATAGACTCCACTGGTGGGGCCCCAGAGGTTCCCCCAGGCTGTGAGTTTATCACACTCACCTTCCCAAAGAAAGGAAGCCCAGGAAGATCTAAAATAAAAATTGGGCAATGGCCTCTGTGCCTGCAACTCCACTTCATGCTGGTGTCTGAGACCTCTGCCTGCCAGCCTCAGTGTCCTCCGCTGTCCCTGGGCCTTTCTTCTCCCACAGGGAAGAGTTTCCCAGGTTGCTGTGTCATCAGCTTGTAAAGCCGCAAAGCTACTGTCTGCTGGATCCCTCCCAGGACATCTTAAAGGGACTGTGTTCTCCCTGCCCACACGTTTTCAAGATCTCTCTGGGGAACCCTGATAAAACGAGCCATCCGCAGCCAGCTCCTTGGCACTGGCCCTGAACTGACTGCTGGAAGTGTCCTAAGAAGGGACATGGCTGAGCCCATCTCTGCAGTGGAAAGACACTGTCTCTGTGGGTGTGTGCACGCACGCATGTGAATGTAGGAGTAGACACACAGACACACTGGTGTCTTTGAGTAAGGACACTGGGCACCTTTGCTGGCACCCCATGGTCAGCAGTGTCTCAGGCTGTGACCCCTCGGCCTGGGGGATTCATGCATCACAGTCCCCATGACCAGAAGCAGTGGATAATTTCCGGGTTGTGGAGTGAATTCCCCTCAGCTCCTTCTGAGCTCTTTGGTGTCTGTAAGATGAGAAAGCTGTGCAGATTGCATGCTGGACCATGGTGGTCCCACTCCTAGCTGCCTGGTCACAGTGATGCCTCTAGTAGCCAGCTGCGTCCTCCTGACCAAATGACAGGGCCTCAGGAGTTCATGCCTCCTCTGGGGGATTCATGGGGGGAAGGCCAGGTCTCCCCTACCTGTTCCTGCCTGCAGAGGTGCTGCATTGGAGAGGGCTTGGCTGGCTCTCATCACCCTGGGTGGAAACCAAAGGCCAGCGTCTCCTCATCTCACTGCCCGTAGCAGGGCTGAGTGTGGGTGGTCTGACACCCATGGCACCATGGAGGACAGAGGTGACCCTGGGATCTGGGAGAACAGGGACAAATGCCTCAGATGCTGATGGGCAGGCTGCACGCTGGAGTCTTGGCAGATGGCTGTGCCTGGGCTCCTCCACCTTGGAAAGGCCTGGAGGGCGCCGCTGCAGGGGACAGCTGGCGAGTATGCTCCTGCCCCGGCCTGCCCGCGGCTGCCCGCCCGCACATGCCCACCTCCAGGGCATCTGCAGCGCTGACATCGCTGGGCGCGGCCTGCCTGCCCCTATGCACCCCGGAAGCCTGTTCACCCAGGCAGCTGGGGTCTGCATTTCCAGCAGGGACCACATTTTCAGGGACCACAGCTCTGACCTGGTCGTGACCAAAGAGAGAGGTGAGTGGCGACAAAGGAAGGAAGGCCTGGCCTTGAAGGAGGATCCAAGGCACCTTGCCCATGCCAGAGACAGGGTGCTGGAGGCTCCAAGGCCAGGGAACTTTCCAAGGTCACCAGGCAGGGTCCATGGAGCAGGGGCCAGGTGGGGTCAGGGAGGATGACAGGCCAGGTGGTATGAGCCTGAGGCCTGAGGGCTCTCAGCCACAGAGCCCTCAGCAGGGGAATGATGAGCCATTCCCCAGGGCAAAGAGATGTGCCCAAGACCACACAGCCGGGTGTGGCCGCTCTGTCAGAGATACAGTGGATTCCCGGCGCATGGGGGTGACCGATGAGTCAAGGCCTCCGCCATTTGGAGCATTGTGCAGCCGTCCAGCAGGAGCGGGAGCAGCCCACTGATTCGGGGGACCAGCCCAGAGGCAGGGAGGAGCAGGACATGGGGCAGAACACGGGGCCTGCCTTCAGCCCTATGTCCTTCTGGGGCTGGAAGGGTCAGGCTGAGTTGGACACCGCTTTGTATTCATGAGCATCTGCATCCAGCAAAGCCCTGTTTCCAGCCTCAACCTGTCCTTCCCACCCTCTCTGCCTTACACCCCAACTTCCCTCTCCACAGCAGGGGCTCTGTCTCCCCTTCAGCTAGGTGGAGCCCCACAGCCACCTTCTGCAGATGGAAGAGACCTCACGGCAAGGATGGTGAACAGAGGGGATGTTAACTACTTCCTCTTTTCTTCCAGCTTGAAACAGGATGCAATGGCTGGAACTGTGGCACTGTGCTGGACCACAAGGAAACCTGTGGTGTGGAAGCCACGAACAGCAGGGCTGAAGGCAGAGGGAAACTGCGACCGGACTTCTCGATGTAAGAAAACAAACTGTCTCTCACTTGGAGGCCATTGTAATTTTGTTTTCTTCCAACCCTCACTGTTGATATCAATTCTAGTTTGCAAAAATAACTTAGGCTGCACTGTGACTGGGCAGCTTACTCCTCCCCAAGGCTCCTTCCCGGGAGCCCTGCTCCTCCCCACCCCCGCCCTCAGCCCCTGTGCCTGCTTTTCGCTGACCCACGTCTGTAACACATGCTCGCACACACACACACACACACACACACACACACACACGTGGGCACAAGGGGAACCCCCCTTCTCTGTCCCACTGCTGAATTTCTTCTGCTGCTGCCTAAATACACTGTCCCACCCAGGCCCACACGGTCAGCTCCGTCCTGCCCCCATGTCCCCGGCCCTGGACCAGTGCCCAAAAGCACCTTGTCTGTTTGTCAGTGTTGCTTGCTCCCCAAGTAGTCCCAGCCCAGCACCTCAGTCATCAGCAGCCTGGAAGGGGGAAAAGTCCTCACCCCAGAGCCCAGGTGCCAGGGACACTGCTCACAGCTCCAGGTCTCCCCAGGGCATGCCTGATCATATGGTTTGTCCATGCCAACTGCCCCTTGGCCCAGCCTGCACTCAGCCAACCGCTAATGACAGGGGCTGCCGGCTCCTTTCCTGGCCCTGGCTCAGTCTACTGTCTCAGCCACAGAGCCCTCAGCTGGGGAGTGTGGGTGCAAGGTGGTGGCCAGGCGCAGGTGCTCTGTGGCTTGGAGGAGAGCCGTCTGCTGGCACGTGGCATCGGTCTGTGTCTCCTCCTCTCCCCGCAGGCCAGACCAGGCTGGGGTGGCCGCCCTTGCTCAGGGAGTCGGGTCTACAGATCGCTTGCCACCAGGCTTGCTGCCAGCCTGAGTGTTTAGGGCAGCCCCTGGGGACTGTGAGTAGGGTCCTATGTCGGGGGGCTGCCTCCTGCTGCCAACCCCACCCCCTCACCCTATGGCAGGCCCAGAGCCTCCCCTCCAAGTCCCTGAGGCCTCAGGGCACCCTGCCACATACAGCACTCCTCACTATGTGCCCCTTGCCCTTTCTCCCTGAGCCCCTCCCGCTGAGGTGAAGGGGGCTGAGGCAGGACTGTCTCCCTCTGGCATTTTGATTTCTTGAGGGCTGCCTGACCTCCTGTGGATGGAACCCAGAGCCTCGCATATGCTCATCAGGTGCTCTTCCATCGAGCTGCACCCCGAATTCCACTGGGAACACTCCCAGATACTCTGATCCTTGAGGCATTCAGAGTCAAGGCCATCTTGCTGGGATGGGAGGCTGAGTTCAGAAGGAGCTGTCATTGTGGATGTCCCTGGAGATCCAGGCTGGGGCTGTTATCTCGTGGCTGCAGGGTGTTTTCCCCTGTCAGATAAGGGGGTTCCTGCACCTCTGAGACTCCAGACTTGAACCCCAGCCCCCTGTGTCTGCCTAGCTCTCTGCCCACCCAGCCTTTTCTTTTCTCCCATGGAGAATGCAGCCCACCTCAGATCCGAGGTGGCCTCTGCAAAGGCCCACAGCACTTGGTCGAGGCTGGCGGGGAGGCCGAGGCTGGGCAGTGGTCACCCTGTGCCCCATACCCTCTGTCCCTGTATGGCAGAACCCTGTGGCCCTTGGCCTGGGCTGGCTTCTTTTCTTGTCCTACCTCCAGCTAGGCCTAGATTCCCCACACCTGGATGTGCTTCAGAGGCTCTGGGGCTGCTTGCTGAGCCCAGCCCTGTGCTTTTCCCCAGTCCCGAGGCTGCCAGCAATGCCCCTGCTAGGAGCTTCAGCTACCCTCAGTAGGCGGTGGGACTAAGGCACAAGGGCAGGTGGGGCTGCCCTTGACCTGTAGTCACAGGTGAGGCCACACCAGCCTGCTCACGCAGAGCCTGGCTAGGTGTCCCTCGCTAGGATCCAGCTATCCTCCGCTGCTGGAAGGCTCACATCCCTCATGTGGCAGGTTAGAGATGGATGCACTCTCACACCTGTCTGGGAAGGAAAGAGGCCTAAGAGGCCCACAGGCCAGGATACATCCACCTGCTGGGTTAGATCGGGGCGACAGTAGCGGTGTCCTTGCCTGGTCCCATCTCAGATCACACGAGATGTAGCCCAGCAGCAGATAAGCAAGCAGGGCCTGTGTATGTCTTTCAGGGGACAGTGACCCCTGAAGCAGTAGTCTCAGGCGACCTTGACCTCAGGCCCCAAAAAGGAAACCCCGGAGGGTGGAGGTGGCTGAATGCCCACCGTGCCCTCTGCCCTGGCCCAGCCCTGGCTGCTGTCACACACTCCAGTGACGCATCCGTGCCCTCTGCGCTCGCACACGTAGCCAGCCGGTCTTCCCCTCCGGAGTTTCCCTCCAGTGCTGGGTGTCATCTGACTTCTGCTTCTTTCTTTCCCTGTCACCAGGGTTGACAGGAAGGACTGGGCATTCGAGGTGTCCTGATCTGTGTGGGGCTTTGGAGGCAAGGGAGGAGAGCGGCCAGGACAATGGCAAGTGTGTTCTCCCTGCTGAGCCCAGCCGGGGCACCAGAGGACACTGAGGGCCACCACCCTCCCAGCCCGTGAAGGCCGCCTGTGCTGAGCGGAGCCTGAAATGCTGTGTTTCCTGTCCCTGGCTCTGATGGTGTCTTGGCTGGCAGGGGCCATGGCCCACAGGCCAGTTGCTGGGCAGCACCCAGGATCGCTTGCCATTGGTGGGTTGGAGGGCAGCTCTTGAGCGAGTACAAAGGGGCATTGATAGGCCGGGCTGGCGAGTCTCCATCAGAACACGGGGAGGACAGGAATAGCCCAGCACGAGCGCCAGCAGGGCTGGGCCACTGGTGCTAGAGGGTGTCGGCTTTCCGCTTCTTCTCCAAGCCTGGGCAGCCGGGCTGCAGTCCCTAGGGGGGTGCTCACCCCAGCCTGGGTAGGGGGCTTCCTGATGGCTCCTCCTGCTGCCAAACACCAGGCAAGAGAAAGAGCAAGGCGGTGGGTAGTGAGAGGAATGGAGGAGGAGGGGAGAGAAGGCACACCTGTCTCAGTGGCTTCCGGGATGTGAGTGCCACTGGACGTCCAGGGGCCCCAGAACAGGGCTTCCCGATCCTTCTCTCAGGGGGCTGAAAGCGGAAGGCCTCGTGCTCCGGGATCGACTCACATGTATGTGCAAACCCCAAGCTCTTGGGCCACAGGCACCTTTTTGTTACTTTTTCTGTCCGCCGTGTCCCTCAGGACAGGCAGAACAAGGGAGAATGGAGCCCTTTCCGCCTGGCTCCTCCTTATGGGACTTTTTTCTGTTGCTAATAACAACGCCACAGCCCGGATACATTAGGAAGAAAATCGGTGTATATGCTGATGACTTGCATGCTGGCAGAGGTAGCCCAGGGCACCATGTGTGACAGGCAGGGAGCATGTGCCTGTGTAGCTATGTGCCTTCTGCCGTCTCTCCCTGGTCCTCTTCAAACAAAACCACCAAGATTCAACCACAAGGGTTCCACCCTAATGACTCTAAGCCTGGTCACCTCCTGAAGATCCCCCTCTCAGCCCCATGGTCACATTGACTGCCCAC